AAGAGTATTAGTTCTTCAAAGCGTGCCCCGTATACGAAATAGATTTTGCTCGTAGAGTACACGACTCAGACATGCAGGTAGTGTAGCCCCCCCCCCTTGACTCCCATGCAACGACCTCGCTGCATGCGCTCATCTGCCAACGTGATAGAGAAACATACCTTTCGTGTTTTGAGCCTCGTCCAGACAAATCTCAGAAAACAGCTCGTCAAGTTCGAAATCAGGCCGCCACTCCGAGTCTCCTTTGCGCCTCACCAGCTCAAACCGATTCATGTGGGCCTTCTGCTTTGTGGAGCCAGAGCCACGCAAATACCGGGTGACAGCGGCCGGACCATGGCGAACGTGGAAGGTCGGGTACGCGCACACGATGAACACTTGGCTGTTCAACTCATTTTTCGGATTGAAGAAGGGACTGTCCCTTGTGAGGCGCTCGACAATGCGTGTAATCCCCGCCGGATCTGAGTTGGACCGCGCACCATAGATGAAAACTTTGAACATGCTGGAGAAGTTGGCCAAGGCACTCGCCATCTGGGTGACAAGATGTGGCTGCGTAAGCATCAAGTGCGGCTTAGGAGCCGGATAACTCTCCAAGGCCTCGATATCGCCAGCCTGCATCATGGTCAAGAGGTCCAGTTTGCGTCGGTTGATTTGCTGTTAGTGTTAGCAATAGGAAATAGGGAAGGTGACATAGTTTCCCTGTGGGCAACTGAAATACTTACGATAAGGCACTGGGCGGCATATGTATCGGTCTTCCCAATACCAACTTCATCAGCGTAGATAATGCCTTGAGGCACACCTTTCTCGGACTTCGCAAGCGCATTTGGGTCGTTGGCTTCAATCAGCTTCATCAGTTGCGAAGCACGCAAGGCGTCTGCTGCTTCCCTTCTCCTCACACCCTCAGCGGCGCCAGTAGTTTGCCACCACAGCATGGAATGGCCATTAGGGTTCTGTCCAGGGATCCTCGGGTTTTTGCGGTGCGCAATTTGACAAACGTTCAAGGCCTTCTCATAGTCCTTGGGCTGGTAGGCGGCGTTATCCATCAAGCGGACGGCGGTTTCAACGTTGAGGCGCAGGCTGGGGTCGTTGATGTTGGAAGATGGCGCGTCAGCAGCATCTCCAGCTTCATCTAACTGCTCCTCACCATCAGCACTCAGCTCAATTCCCTCATAAGCCTTGTCCATCAGGATCTGCGTTGAAAAAGACGGTTCCTCTACCGCTTCAATCGTCGCCCGAGTCTTCACCTTTTCCCAGCTGGTCACTTTGCGCATGTTGGTCAGACGAGACATGCGCTGGGCCATGGTGGATTTACTGAGTTCTGCAGCTGCCAGGTCGGCCTTGGTGGTTTCTACCAATGGCTTCTCTACATCCGCGTCTCCGTTGTCGGTGTCTTGTTCAAGTGAAGCGGCGCTGAGGGTTTTGGTGATTTCAGCAGCGCTTTGTCCACCAGCGACGACAGGATCTTCACTCCGGGCATCATGACCACCAACTGTGAACGTGGGATCGCTGAGGTGCCCAAGCTCACAAGTCTCACACTCGAAACAAGTTGAGTCGAAGTCCAGAAGTTCGTCCATGTGGGCCTCGGTGATTCCAATTGGCAATCCTTGGAAGAACCACGACGCACGTGGGTTGCTTTCGTCCTTGGTGTACTGAGAGGCCGTATAATCTACCGGAGCCGCAGCTTTGGACTTAGCCGTCATGTCACCGAGGCCAACGTTGGGAGGGTGTACCAGCTCAATCATGCCTGGATCCAAATCGCCGTGAGGACTCGATCGCTTGATGTTGGCAAGGGTGCTGGCGGCGGCATCGTGTCGTTGTTTGAGCGCTGTCAAGAGCCTCTTCTTCTCCTCTGCGTCGACATCGTCTCGTTCCTTGGTATGAGCGTGCTCACCCTCTGCATCCAACGCCTCCATTTCCAATGCGGTCTCAAGTTGGGCTTTCTCGAGTTCAGCATGCTCACGTTGAAGACGTTGAGTTTCGCGATGGCACTTTGCCACAGCTGCAACGCGAGCCTTGTCACGGCCAGCTTGTTTTCGCGAGGGCAACGAGGGCGTCACTTCCGTGTCTTTGGCAGACTGTTGCACGGCTTCGATGGTCCTGCTCCTCCCGGCGACATGCTTCAACTGGCGTTTTGCGTTGACGGCATATATCCCACCCTTCTTTCTGTCGTAGAACTTCAACAATGCATTGACGCGGTCCATGTATAAGGCCGGCGGGATTGGATGGCCACGCAGGGGAGCGTTGCTGGCCCGGAACCAGTTGCTAGCGAAGCGATTGCATGCAATAGCGTAAATGTCGTTGAGGTTGGATGGCGGATTGCTGCGCATGTCTTGCGCGGACATGTTGAAGGAGTCTCCACCAGCAGCATTGAGACGAGTGATGGCGGTGAGTATGTGCGGCAGCTCGGGGCGCGGTAGTTTGTCGAGTTCCTGCTTCTTGCAAAACTCTAGACGGGTCTCGTTGAACTCGGTGATATCCGTCGCAATGCGCGTGCGTTCGAGGAAGTGGACGAGGTCAGCAGGATTGGAATAGCCAAAGCTTCGACAAATGTCTTTGGCCGAGCGCACGCGAGATACGCACGGAGTCTTCAGTTCAGAGAAGACACCGTTGACATGCGGAATTTCCTTGTATCGATCTTCGCGGGACGATGCTTGCGCGATGAGGGCATCCTCATGCTCTTTTACCTGGGCGGCCAGGGCGGTATCATCTTCGAAGGCCTCGTCTTCCATATCGCTCGGCGGGTCCATTTCAATGTCAACGTCGTTGGGTGGTGTGGTGGTCATGGTTGAGCTAATCTGTGAATATTGTTAGTGACGTGTATAGTATGATAGCATGGGGCTGTTTTCATGAGGGCAACTGGGTATGGAGAATGGGGCTGTTTTCATGAGGGCAACTGGGTACGGGGAAGGGGGTCGTTTTCATGAGGGCAACTGGGTCCCCATGGGCAAGGGGGTTGTTTTCATGAGGGCAACTGTTGCCCTCGTGGAAAGGCCCCCACTGGACCCCGTGGTGTTGCCCTCGGGAAAAGACCCATCCTCATGAGTGTTTTTGCTGCCCTCATGAAAAGCGTCATCGTCAATCGATTCGTGCTGGCCGGTTCGAGTTTCGGTTGTTGCCCCAAAACCAAGGCGTTCTTCCTAATTCCCGCTCGAGGGTGGTGGTGCAGGCTTGATGTGAGTTGTGGGTGAGTGGGTTACTTACATCCAATGGGTCCTATGTGAGGGAATTGCTGGGGGGGGGGCGGAAACGATTGCGTGCCCAATTAAAGGGCGGCAGTGTGTTCTGGGTGCGCCCGAGCAGGCGGTTGATCAACTGCTGGAACATGGTGGGCCAAGTCTTGTCGTCATCTAGCGATCTGCCGTCTTCTTTTCCTCTCCAGAGTTGGTTCGCAGTTGACAGAACAAATTCTCAATGGAGGCGGCTGGCTGGC